GGGAATTTTGGCTCAATTCTATCACTCGTAGGGTCCAGAATGCTCTTTGATTTTAGGTGAATTATAAATCCCAGCAACTACAACTCCCAAATGTCAAGGTCTATTTTCCCCAAATTCCACCAGTGTTCACATTTGGCCATATTGAGTATCCGTGCCAAGTTTGGTCCATCATTGTTTGAATCCACAGTACTCTCTGGATTTAGGTGAACTACAACTCCCAAACCAAGGTCAATGACCACCACACAGCTTCCAGTATTTTCTATTTTTCTTGGGAGTTCTGTGTGCCAAGTTTGGTTTGATTCCATCACTGGTGAAGTTCAGAATGCTATTTGATTTTAGGTTATCGCAGCAACTACAACTCCCAAATGACAAAATTAATCCCTCACAACCCCACCAGTATTCAAATTTGGTCGTATTGGGTATTTGTACCAAATTTGGTCCAGTGAATGAAAATACATCCTGCACTTCAGATATTTACATTACAGTTTATAATAGTAGCAAAGTTACAGTTATGAAGTAGCAATGAAAATAATTTTATGGTTGGGGGTCACCACAATATGAGGAACTATATTAAGGGGTGGTGGCATTAGGATGGTTGAGAACCACTTGGTCTACGGACAACAGGCTCCTCGGCATGGAAAATGGAACAAGATCCCCTCCCCATGGCCAGAGTTGAGTATTGCCTCTAGACGCTTGAAACCTTTGCCTTTGTTGTGTATTGCATGTCATTGTTCACTGTGTAAAAGGCATTGAATGTTTGCCTATATATGCATATACTGTAATATGCTCTGAGTCTCCTCGGGGAGATAAAGCAGAATATAAATAAAGTGCATTATTATTATTATTCCATAAAATTTGGGAAATGATGGGGCCTTAAAACTTGTCCATTCAGATACGGACAGTTGATTTACATGATGAGGGTCATCAAGTGATGAGTAATCAAGGGACAAAATAAAGTGAGACATTTTAATCAGTGCATTGAGAAGATAAAATGGAAATAGCTCTAAAAGCAGATCTATTTCCCCCAGAACACAGTGCATTTTAATTTCCTAGTAAACAGCTTTGAATGACTAAGTTTTTATCTTCTGCAGCAAATGGCTCCCTGAAGAACGCACTGCTTTCCACATTAGTCGTACCGGGCATTTTTCAAAGCATGCCAAAAATTACTGAGCATTTATTATATGGAAACAAAAGGACTCATCCACTATTCCAATTCTGGATTCTTCAGTCATAAGAAAAATAGGAATTTAATGTTTGCTCTGATGAAGAGAACAAGTTGAAGAAGATGTGGTCGTATCATGGAACAGACAGGACATTTTCTCCAGAACTCTTCCTGAAGGTATTTTGATAAATTTTCATTGGTTCTCCAGGATGGGATACTTTGGTGATTCAGGACAAATAAAAGTAACCTTATTTCAGACACTCTCCCAGTGGTTCCCCAGTTACACAACATAAGATTCCTCACATACAAAAAGGTTTAATAATGACTCGGCATCCATGGCTACTTGCACTCTAAACATATGAAGATTAACCCCAACTTTCTCCTTCTCTTGCATTTCATCCCCTCGCACAGTGATTTCAACCTGGGGGTTGGGCCCCCCGTGTGGGTCGCGAGGGCGTTTCAGAGAGGTTCTCAAAGACCATCGGAAAACATATATTCAGCCTTCTGTGCCAAAGGGGTTCCTAAAACCATCAGAAATATATGTTTTCCAATTGTCTTAGGAACCCCTTTGGCACAGAAGGCTGAAGATCTCGCAATCTGTCCTCTTCCTTTTTTGGAAACACATGGCAAATCCTTCCACCAAAAACCCTTTTCCACTGTGATTGGCTGGACTCTCAGCCAAGGGGAGGGCTGTTTCTGAGACTCCAAGTGGGGAGGGGAGAGCAGGCGCATGGCAGCATGGTGTGCATGTGTGATGAAGGAGAGTGCGCAAGGTTGGAGGGAGGCTCATGCTAGTGAGTGCCTTTAAGGCAGTGGTTCTCAACCTGGGGTCCCCAGATGTTTTTGGCCTTCAACTCCCAGAAATCCTAACAGCTGGTAAACTGACTAGGATTTCTGAGAGGTGTAGGCCAAAACACCTGGGGACCCACAGGTTGAGAACCACTGCTTTAAGGCATTGGGATTCTGTGTGAGAATATTGTTAAAGTTAAGACTTTACTAACCCAAAATCCTTCATGTGGATTGGCCCAAAGTTCCCACTGGTCATGGGGGTTCTGTGTGGGAAGTTTGACCCAATTCTATCCTTGGTGGGGTTCAGAACACTCTTTGATTGTAGGTGAACTATAAATCCCAGCGACTACAACTCCCAAATGTCAAGATTCTATTTTCCCCAAACTTCACCAGTGTTCACATTTGGGTATTTGGCCCAAGTTTGGTTCAGATCCATCATTGTTTGAGTCCACAGTGCTCTCTGGATATAGGCGAACTACAACTCCAAAACGCAAGGTCAATACCCACCAAACTCTTCCAGTATTTTCTGTTAGTCATGGGAGTTCTGTGTGGTTCAAATTCCATTGTTGGTGAAGTTCAGAATGCTCTTTGATTGTAGGTGAACAATAAATCCCAGCAACTGGAACTCCCAAATGACAAAATCGGGTATTTGTGCCAAATTTGGTCCAAATTTGGCACAAATACCCAATTTTGTCATTTGGGAGTTCCAGTTGCTGGAACATTACGATTAATAACAGTAGCAACATTACAGTTGTGAAGTAGCAACGAAAATAATTTTTTGTTTGGGGGTCACCACAACATCAGGAACTGTACTATGGGGCCGTGGCATTAGGAAGGTTGAGAACCACTGACTGAGAAGGAGAGGTGGGAACTGTGACAGCTAGCACAGATAGCTTGGACATTATCCTTTTTTTCAGCTCCAGGAATCCATTCGGAAAGTAGTTTTCTTAAGAACTGAGAAAAAGCCTATTTAAAGCAAGAAAGACCTGTCTGAGTGAGAGAGGGAAGAAAGAGCAGAACAAGTAATAATTGCTTTTTTTAAGGGAGGGGGCCTCCATCAAGAGGACAAAATGATGGATTTGACCGAAGAAGAAAAGCAATACCAGAGACAAAACAGAGAAAAAGAAGAAAAGAAAGAATTTGGAACAATTGATAATGAGAAATACTGTGAAGAATACAACTAGAAGAGATGGGTAATGAGAAATGGATAACAATTTATCAATAGGGGCCAGGCTTAGCAGGACACTGCCCACCAACCCTTCCAGTATTTTCTGTTGGTCATAGGAGAACTGTATGTCAGGTTTGGTTCAATTCCATCGTTGGTGGGGTTCAGAATGTTCTTTGATTGTAAGTGAACTATAAATCCCAGCAACTACAACTCACAAATGACAAAAACAATTTTTTGAGTGAAGGGCATACATTGGGTTGTTAGGTGTCTTGTGGTCAAATTTGGTGTCAGTTTGTCCAGTGTTTTTTGATTTCTGTTAATCCCACAAATGAACATTACATTTTTATTTATATAGATAGGAATACTGGCTAAAAGCATGGTCATATCATGAGCCAAAAGAAGGAGAGCCGGTTACACCAAATATGTTAAACTTATTACTTGATTTTGTCTTGTTTTGTTTATATCCAGCATTTCCCTAATGCTCTTTAAAATTTAAAAATATATAAATTTATTCGAATCTGGGGAGCAGTGTGAGTTTCTGCTGTCAGCCCCAGCTTCTGTCAACCTAGCAGTTCGAAAACATGCAAATTTTGTCGTGTCAGGAGCGACTTGAGCCCCCGGTGGCGCAGTGGGTTAAACCCCTGTGCTGGCAGGACTGAAGACCGACAGGTTCAAATCTGGAAGAGGCGGATGAGCTCCCTCTATCAGCTCCAGCTCCTCATGCGGGGACATGAGAGAAGCCTCCCACAAGGATGATAAAAACATCAAATCATCCGGGCGTCCCCTGGGCAACCTCCTTGCAGACAGCCAATTCTCTCACACCAGAAGCGAACATGTAAATGTGAATAGATCAATAGGTACCGCTCCGGCGGGAAGGCAACGGCGCTCCATGCAGTCATGCTGGCCACATGACCTTGGAGGTGTCTATGGACAGCGCTGGCTCTTCGGCTTAGAAATGGAGATGCGCACCAACCCCCAGAGTCAGACACGACTGGACTTAATGTCAAGTGAAAACCATTACCTCAATATTCCAAACCACAAATAGGTTCACAACCATTTTCAGGATTTGGTTGTATTTATTTGGCATTAATGGCAGCCTATGTACCCCTGAGATTAGTCCAAGGGCAGAAAATTAACTTCTGACCACTGCACAGAAAAATCAAAACAGGAAAGGATAAGAAAGAAATGACATGGCTGGCATATGTTGCAGCAATCCATAAATTAAAAAGACGGAAAGGAAGAACCAGCATTAATGCAGAAATGAGATAAATAATTGGGAGAGGGGTCTTTGATATCGGCACCAAGATGAGACAAGGCAACCCACTCCACGGCTGAACATGATTGGGGGCTGATGAAGCGTGAGCAGCAGCACAGAGACTCTATAGCATGGCTGATTTGCTAACTGCCAAACAGCAATTTTGAAAACCGAACGCAGCAAAGAAATGACAAGGAACATAAACTACATTAGGAAGATAAAAGGGTTGTGCAAAAGGCCAGGAGTTGAGAGCAACATCATCAGCTAGCAGAAATAAAACAGAAACGGCTGGATTGTAGAAAAGCAGGAAGACCTCTAAAACCGACAGATAAAGAGAAACTGTAGAGGAGGGACCACCAGTCTTCAAAGCTAGATGCCACCAAGAACAGAGAGTGTCACGTGGATATTACATGGCAACCAACCAATCCGTTTGCCCCCCAAAAAATCCTATGAAAGGGTCACCTTAGGGTTGCCATATTTGAAAGCCAACAGCAATGTTAAACAACTGTATTTATGGGTAGAGAAAGGGAAAATAAGTCTGCCTTCCCTCCAAGGGGAGTCCCTTCAGTTTGCCATGTGCAGGAAGAAACTAAATGTGCTCCCCAGTCCTAATTTTCTGCCATTACCTGTCATAACAGTTGAAGTCATCAAGCCAGCATCCTTTCTTCACCAGTTCAATGGAGCCAGAGTTGTTTCTCCAGGAGGCATAGCAGTGGAGGCGCTTGTCCTTCTCCCCTTCACAGCGCTCCACCCCACTCTGGTTGGTCTTTTCCAGTTCCCAATTGGCATTGTAGTAGATGCATTCCCTTGTCTCTGCCTCGCCATGGCCTGGCCCTGTAGGAAGACACAAAATGGAAGGCTGTTAATGACCAAAGCAGCAGTAGGGACACTAGAGACACTTTAGACATTCTAAAGAGGGATAGATAATGGAAACTATGACACCGATCGTTACTAGGCTTGTGTAATTCGACTGGAGGGCAATCCATTTTTGGTATCCGAATCCGGGTACCCAGATCTGTTTTCAGGAACCTCCTGAAAATTTGCTAATAGAAAATCTGTTTTCAGCTAGGCGGCCAAAAGATCGGGCTCACTGGTGGGAATAAGGACCTTACAAGGCTCCTCTTTCTGTTCCTGGGCCCCTTTTTTTATCTTCCTTTCAGGGAGTCTGGGTTTGAAGAGCAGGGTTAAGGAAGCACCCTTCCTGGGACCCTTTCCTATCTTCCTTTCAAGGAGTCTGGGTCTGAAAAATAGGGTTAGGGAAGCATCCTTCTGGGAACCCTTTCCTATCTTCCTTTCAAGGGAGTCTAGGTTTGAAGAATGGGGTTAAGGAAGAACCCTTCCTGGTACCCTTTCCTATCTTCCTTTCAGGGGGTCTGGGTTTGAAGAATGGGGTTAAGGAAGCACCCTTCCTGGGACCCTTTCCTATCTTCCTTTCAGGGGGTCTGGGTTTGAAGAATGGGGTTAAGGAAGAACCCTTCCTGGGACCCTTTCCTATCTTCCTTTCAGGGGGTCTGGGTTTGAAGAATGGGGTTAAGGAAGCACCCTTCCTGGGACCCTTTCCTATCTTCCTTTCAAGGGAGTCTAGGTTTGAAGAATGGGGTTAAGGAAGCACCCTTCCTGGGACGCTTTCCTGTCTTCCTTTCAAGGGAGTCTAGGTTTGAAGAATGGGGTTAAGGAAGCACCCTTCCTGGGACGCTTTCCTATCTTCCTTTCAAGGGAGTCTAGGTTTGAAGAATGGGGTTAAGGAAGCACCCTTCCTGGGACGCTTTCCTGTCTTCCTTTCAAGGGAGTCTGAGATTGAAGAATGGGGTTAAGGAAGCACCCTTCTTGGGACCCTTTCCTATCTTCCTTTCAGGGAGTCTGGGGTTGAAGAATGGGGTTAAGGAAGCACCCTTCCTAGGACCCTTTCCGATCCTCCTTTCAAGGGAGTCTAGGTTTGAAGAACGGTGTTAAGGAAGCACCCTTCCTGGGACCCTTTCCTATCTTCCTTTCAAGGGACTCTGGGTTTGAAGAACAGGGTTAAGGAAGCACCCTTCCTGGGATGCTTTCCTATCTTCCTTTCAAGAGAATTTGGGGTTGAAGAACAGGGTTAAGGAAGCACCCTTCCTGGGGCCCTTTCCTATCTTCCTTTCAAGGGAGTCTAGGTTTGAAGAACGGGGTTACGGAAGCACCCATCCGAGGACCCTTTCCTATCTTCCTTTTAAGGTAGTTTAGGTTTGAAGAACAGGGTTAAGGAAGCACCTTTCCTGTGCTCCTTTCTTCCTTTTAAGGGAGTCTGAGTTTAAGAAATGGGGTTATGGAAGCATGCTCTGCATACTCCCGAACAGAAAGGAAGAAGCCATACCCGGCAGCCACATGGTGGCTGAGCCCTTGCCAATATGGCCAGCTGATCAAGCTGGATTGTCTGAAGGGAACCGACCAAACCAAATCTGTGCACAAGCCTAACAGCTACTAGTTCAGGTAGATATGTGTTGTCTCTTATGCCAAAGACAGTAAACTGTGAGGTGTGAAAGGGAGAGTATAAGTTGCTTTCACATCATCCTGATGATTCTAGAGGCAATTGGTTGACTACTATGTATGAACAGAATGATGAACGAGATAACCTTCATGTATGCTTGTCTGTCTGTCTGTCTGTCTACCAGTGTTTCATGTTCTGCCTTTTCCCCAGGGTTGCAATGCAAGGCAGCTTACCACATGATTTAAAAGGCTCCAATAAAACTACAGTTAATTGTGAATATTTAAATGTGCATTTAATTAATTATGCAGTCAGCCTCCCACATCCACAGATTCTGTATCCACAAACATCCACAGCTTGAAAATATTTTCTAAAAGGTCCAAATATTAACCTAATTTTGCCATTTTATATAATGGGATTTCATCATTCAAGGGCCCAAAATACTCTTTGAAGTCATCTGCTGGCTGCAGGACAGCTGCCTTATTCCATAACCAAAATCTTCCTCCACCAGAAGGGCTCTCAAAAGCTGAGAGATGATAAACGAATACTTAAATAAACCAAATGAATAAATATTATGTTTTGATGGACAACTGAGCAAAATAACTGAATCCATGTAATTCTGCTTTCAGCAGCCCTCATCCTCCTTTCTGTTGTAATAGATGCAATGATCTTATAAGGTGCAGTGATCTTCCAGAACCAATAACAGGAATACCAACAGTTGAGGATAAACTATATAATGCAAACATTCAACTCCAACTTCTCCTGATCATTCCACAGGTGGTCAAAGGTAAGTCATTTATCATCTTCTGCTGTCCCATTTCCACCTGTACTTGTAAAAGGGGGATAATATCCCTGAAGCCATGATGGGACTAGCAGACTAACTAACTAACTTAGTTCCAAGACTAACTATTTCATCTGATTCAGGTATCTTGAGGAAACCATATATTATTCCTGATATGCCACAGTAAGCCTCCATCTCAGAGACTTCCCACCCAGTGCAGTCACAAAGGAGACTGCAAAACTGAAATTGCTGAACTTCCTCTTCTGTTTTTTGATTAATCCAACTGTTTTAGATCAATTTTAAGAAGCCTATTTTCAACCATAGGTGGTTATTATTATTATTATTATTATTATTATTATTATTAAACTTTATTTGTACCCCGCTAGCATCTCCCGAAGGACTCGATGCGGCTTACAAAGGCCAAGGCCTCAATACACAACATAACAATTCACCTAAAGCAAATTAAAACAATTAAAGCAGTATTAAAAACAACAAACAACAAGCAATAAACAATACATCGAAACACAATAGAACTAGGGCCAGAGTAAAGGGTACAGGATTAAAAGTGCTGATATGACAGGTGATATGTAAGGATTATAGGGCAAGTGCATTGTGCAGTGTGCAGCGATCTTAATTCTAGTAAAGTGCTTCTGGGACTTGGTATTGGAGATTTCCTAATCAGGGAAGGCACATCGGAACAGCCAGGTCTTCAAGTTCTTTCTGAAGACTGCCAATGTAGGGGCCTGTCTAAGATCTTTGGGGAGGGTGTTCCAGAGATGGGGGGCCACCACGGAAAAGGCCCTGTCTCGTGTCCCCACCAAACGCGCTTGCGACGCAGGTGGGATCACGAGCAGGGCCTCTCCAGATGAACGTAGTGAACGCGTGGGTTCGTAGACGGAGATGCGGTCACGCAGGTAGGCTGGTCCCAAACCGTTCAGGGCTTTGTAGGTGAGCACCTGCACCTTAAATTGGGCTCGGAAGATGAACGGCAGCCAGTGGAGCTCCTTGAACAGAAGGGTTGACCTCTCTCTGTAAGGAGCGCCAGTTAACATCCTGGCCGCTGCTCGTTGGACAAGTTGGAATTTCTGAGCCGTTTTCAAGGGCAGCCCCACGTAGAGCGCATTACAGTAGTCCAATCTAGAGGTGACCAAGGCATGGACCACCCCGGCCAGATCAGCCTTCGCGAGGTACGGTCGCAGTTGGCGCACGAGTCTTAATTGTGCAAAAGCCCTCCCAGACACTGCCGACGCCTGAGCCTCAAGCGTAAGTGATGAGTCCAAGATTATGCAGTTGGTTTTTTTCAAACAGATCATAATCAAGATTAATCACAGTGGAGTTCTGATATAATGCTACACTGTGGGTAATCAAGTAACAAAAGCGTCCAGTCTCCTCCACATAGTAATGATTGAAGACCAAATGGGTTGGCATCCAAAATCAAAGTTTAATGAAACTTTGATCCTATCACAGTCATCCATGGTTCACTGGGATGACTATGTTGGCCTTTATCAATCAGCTGTGGGAACCCATGCAGTCAAAATTTTAAAAATAAAGAAGTAAAAGACAGAACATAGTTATTATCTATGTTCAACTGCACTGTAATATGCTCTGACACACAGAACCCTGATGTTGTGTGCAGCTGTGTTTATTAGGGAATAAAAGGTTATAATAAGAGCATCCTTAGTAAGACATCTGCCAACCATGATATTATCCCACTTTGTCCTTCAATCAAAGGGAGAGGACATCGCACTGTCAGATGTTCCAGAGTCACAAAATTAGGTCAAAGCACATTGTATGGAAAACCATTAGATGCTGGTGATTTTACTTTGTTCCGCCTGGGAAAACGCTGGAGAGATTGGAGGTTGCTTTACCATCTTCCAGTCACTCCGTACAGTAATCCCCTAAATCAGTGTCCACTCATTAAGTCTGCACACAAACTGAGCCAAAATTATGAACCATGAAAACATGGCTATGTGTGCTATTGAAAGAAAATGGAGTCTTGCATACAGTCAGGCAATATTTTTATTGTAGCTATCAAACAATGTCACAAAAATAGAGACAGTCTTTTGTGCTCTGCAGAGTTCTTCATGAGGATAGATGTTAAAACAAAGTGGGAGTGGGAGTGGGAAAGTGTACATGATGTTGAAGTCATGAAATCTCTAGTCTCAGTGTTGAAGTGAAATGTGGGAGAAGACAACAGACCTCAAAAAATCAAGGTATGTTAAATTAATTGGCAAAGTGTAGTCCTGCACACTACAAATGAAGATCTGCATAGTTAAAGCAATGGTATTCCCCATAGTAACCTAGTAGAGCTTGACCATAAGGAAGGCCGAGTGAAGGAAGGTAGACGCTTTTGAACTGAGGAAAATTCTGAGAGTGCCTTGGACCACAAGAAGTTCCAACCAGTCCATACTCCAGGAAATAATGCCCGACTGCTCACTGGAAGGAAGGATACCAGAGGCAAAGATGAAGTATTTTGGCCACATCATGAGAAAGCTTGGAGAAGACAATGATGCTGGGGAAAATGGAAGGAAAAAGGAAGAGGGGCTGATCAAGGGCAAGATGGATGGATGGTATTCTTGAAGTGACTGGCTTGACATT